GGGAGGGGAGGCAGTGGGGGAGTGGACAGGCCTCTGAGCCCTAAAGCCAGGTCCATACCTTTGGGACTGTTCAAGGAAAAAGGGAAACGGACCAAGAAATGCAAAGCCTCCCATGAACAGTTTTACCCTACTACCGAAAACTTCCTGACAGTCAGCAATTTTTTCAAAGTTCTTAAAAATTAAGTATAAACACACACATGTATGTCCTGAAGGGACGGAAGGGAGAAAAGATGCTGGGAGCGCGACTCCCGGCACAAGGATGCCCCGAGACCTGCATGGGATGCCCAGGCCCCATGGGCCTGAGGTCGATTCTATGAGAGACCCTGCCTAGATCCCTGCCTGCCCAGGCCCAGATCTGAAGGAAGTCTGGACTCAAGCAGGGTCAAGGGGTACAGGCTGGATGAGATGACCCCCAAGCCTCACAGAAACAAGGCTTTCTTTTCCTGATTCAAGGGTTGAAAATGAAAATGAAGTGGGACATGCACTTTAGACCATTAGTCACTCGTTCCCCTTCATGGAAAAAAAACCCCACGTCACATGTATCTCTGGCGAGGATGGTTAAGGTGATCATAGCAGCAAGCTCCTCTCACGAGGTCGCTGTCCCCAGGGCAGGCATGTGTAGATGGGGGCCGCGTTCTCGCCGGGACAGGCCCCGCACTGGCCTGATAGCCCCACCTCTCTGTGACCTCTGTGCCTGTCACGTACCCAACCTGGCAGGACTATTGTATCAGGTCCACCAGTATCTGAGAAAAATGAGCAGTTTCACAGGAAAAAACACGTCTAAGTCTTACAAACAGCCCCTGGGTGGTACAAATGTTTAACATGCTCGGCTGCTTACCAAAAGGTTGGCAGTTCGAGCCCACCCAGAGGCCCTCCGAAGAAAGGCGTGGTGATCTATTTCTGAAAAATCAGTCATCGAAAACCCTAGGAAGCACAGTGCTACTCTGACACATGTGGGTCACCATAAGTCAGAGTCAACTCGAAGGCAACTGGTTACCGGGTTTTAGAATTCTCTAGCCAGTAAACTATCTAGTGTGGATGGAGAATAAAGATCATTTCCAGGGGCAGAAGAATTTTTTAAAATGTTCCTTTCTCAGGAAACGGCTGGTGGATGCTATCCAATAAAGCAAAGGAAACAATCAGGATGGAGAGGATTCCCGGGAGGGGCAGAGCTTGGAAAGGCAGTGGCTCCAGGGGAGGCCTTCGTGGTCAAGGGGAAAGCCATGGCTTAGATGGGAGGAATGGAGACCTGCAAGCCGTCAGAGAGCACGTCCACGCGCCTAGGCACTGGCAAGAGGAACACAGAGATTAAAACAAAAACAGAAAAGGGCAACTGTCAATGCCAAGGGGGAAAACAGAGCCAAAAATTCAAGACAGAAATGGCAAAGCAGTATAATCATGACACAGTTACAATAAAAAAAATGCCAACACTAATTAAGCAAAGAATTATGGTATTATTTTATTGGGAGGACGGGAGAGCTAAATTCTTCATTTCCAGATAGGGAGTCAGTATGTAACCTGCACAACCAAGGAACAGCCACGTAAGAATTTCACTCAGAAACATGCGGTCAGATCCCAGAAGAGACCACGAGAGGCTGAGGGATTGTCTCTGGGCCACGAAGGCCAGGGCTGAGCATCGGTGTGGGCGTGACGGCTAGTTTTTCATCACAGCCTTGGAGACTCATCTGAATTCTTAAACCATGTGCATGTACTACATTAATAAAAATAAACTTTAAAAAATCTGAATGAAATCAATCTGCACCATCACTCTCCCCCAGTGGGCACCTGATGGACACAACACACAATCCTTTCACATTCTCTGCAGGGAATGTTTATTCTCTCTGAGCCTCAGTTTCCTTACCTGTGAAATAGGGATGCAGTGCCTATGCTCCTGGGTTACTGCAGAGATTAAAGGGTATGGTGTCCAGCGGGTCCCTAGCACAGCACTGAATAGTGTTCTGTTATGATAATTGTTCTTAAAATCTTGTGGCTCCTGACCCTAAAGGGCATATTCTTTTTTTTTTTTTAATTGATGTAATTAAATGAAATTTACATTTCAAGTTAGTCTCCCATACAGAATTTTTTTTTTTTTTAACATACATTGTTATGAGACGCCAACCGCTCACCCCATTCTGCGACACCACACTCCTCCCCTCCGCCCCTGATTCCCTATGAACATTCAACCAGCTCCTAACTCTCTCTGCCTTCCCCTCTAACCTCTGGACAGAAGCCGCCCCTTTGGTCTCTTATATCTACTTGTCTAAGAGGCACATTCTTCACGAGTATCACTTTATGTCCCACAGTCCAGTGCAATCCCTGTCTGAAGAGTTGGCCTCGGAAACTGTTTTAGTTCTGGGGTGGTGGAGAGACCAGAGGCCATGTTTTCCGGGGCGCCTCCAGTCTTAGACCATTAAGTCTGGTCTTCTTACTAGTATTTGAGTTCCGCATCCCATCGTTCTACTGCTGCATCAGGGACCCTCTGTTGTGTTCCTAAAGGGCATATTCTTAACAAAATAATCACACCTGAGAATTCTACCACCTCAGTATAAAATGTTTAGACATTTCAGAAAGGTACTTTTACTCCACTGACATGACTGGAGTTCTATAAGAAGGTATCACAGCACTGCCTAGAGGAGTGAAAAATGTGAAAAGAATCCATGTATCCCTCAACCGGAACAAGCTAAACAAATTATAGTTGATCCGTAAGTGGAACATGATGCAGCCACTGACAACGTGAGGACGTGATGC